ACCTGGAATATGAGTACAGAAAGCAGAGGGCCAGTAGCAATTTGATGGCTCACGGAATCCCACGGCATGAAATAAATGAAGATGGTTCTTCTAGTAGCACCGATGGTGAAGAAAATGATGAATTTGGTCATGGTGGAGCAGAATCAGCGCAAGTGATCCATAATGACACTGTCAATGAACAATCTGGTAGTGAGGGTACACGAGGAAGATGGTTTTTTGCAGCTGCTGCTCCTGTTGTCGGTGTTGTTGGAGTTGTTCTGATGTTGTGGTTAGGTAACCCATTGATGGAGAGGAGCCTTAGTCTCCCTATTTTCTGCTCACAAGGGAGACGTACAAATCAATCTTTTACCTCTTAGCAGGTTAATAACCAAAGCAGGAAATGGTGGTCTCTGTTTTAACTTTTTATTTTTTAGTTTTGATCCGTCTGTTTTAACATGTTACTGGTCGTTAGATTGGTAAAGCTTCAAAGAATAGGTTTTACTCGGTGAAGAAACGTATTCGAGGCACCATATAGGTCGTATGTTGTGAACACACCGGTTTGTATTTGGATTTTGTCAATCTCATCAGTATTCAATGTGGGAGCTTATTCTGCTCTTGAATAAATCAAGGCAAGTTCGATGACCTCGGTCGACATGCTAATTTGTATTTACTAGTTGATTGGCTTTTCACATTTCCGTTAATATTCACCACCCAAAATTTGGATAGATTCTTAGGGTTGCACATCCTGTGGTAGTACTGACTCCGAGCTGTTATATACGGGTTAAAATGCTTGAGATCTTTCCATTTACAGCCTTTTCCAGAACGTCAAGCTTTTGCCATATTTAACTTATGATATTTCTGCTCTGAGTGTACAAACTGGTACTCAGTCCATCTCTGATATAAACTTTTCTGAGTTGGCACAAGTTGCTTTTAGAATATGAAGCAGCAAACAACGAATAATGATCAATATCTTCACTATCAATAATTATTTATAGTCGTAGCTGGTCTTCCTACATACTAAATACATCTTCTCGAGTAACTATTAACAATGATGGCATAAAAGCAGCAACTTTGTAGAAGCTGGAAGAATCTTAGGAGAGGAATATAAAATATCTTCATCAAAATCCTTCGTTTATGATTCAAAAGAGTATGTTGAGATAGAGGGTGATCCATCCGGCCATAGAGAACACAGCAAAGATATGAACCCAGAACAAGATAGAAGCTGCCTCTTTCCCACATCCTCTCAAGTTAGCAACAGCACCTACCAACCAGACCAGAAATAGTCGAACTCAGTATACAAATAACTAACTCAGAGAGATAAAAAGTTATAAACACAGCCATCTTAAATATGGCGTGGAATTTTACTTCTCGCTACAGGTTTTTAATTGATAAGTAAACAGTATTCTTACCAGAAAGTACAGATGTGGGCATAGTATGCTGAAGAAGTAAAACAAATCTGAACATTTTATCATCAGGGGGGAGGAAGCCAAGCTTATCAGCTAACATAACTATGCTAAGCCCAGTTGGAGGAACCAATAGCAGCCGCCCAAAAATAATGGCAGCAGTTGTCTTTAGACCAAGCTTTGCACTTCCAGTTCCTGGTCCTGTACATGATTAAATATTAAGGACATGGCATAAGATATTAACACACGTCAATGAGCTTTATCACGAAAAAGGGAAAAAATGAGTGGACTTGCCATTAACAAGGTTGCCTCCTAAAGCCAACAATATGCAGGGAATCATGGCGTCCCTGGTAATAAGTAATACAAAGACCATCACATTATTTAGTTCACTAAGCATCATCATACTCCATAAAAAAGGTTCTATTGACATTTACTTATGTGAGAATAGCTTGAAGGATCAATTTCATATGAATATCTTAGGATGAAAGAAAATCTTAAGAAACATCATAGATGCAGGAACTTTTGCATGTAGTGCAAAACCTTAGTAGCTTCATAAAAAAAATTCTGCAATGAAATCAACTTACCCAAGAATCAAACAGCTGTCAGTGAAGAAGTAAAATGGAGCATCAGAAGTAAATATCAGTCGCCTTAGGACTGGCACACAGCCTATGATAATAGCTAGGATCTGTTGAAATGATCAACAACTCATATGCTCTGAATTAATGAAATACTAAACAACATAATTTCCCAAAGTTCCAAACATTGAAAGTCCGTCTATCTGAAGAACAGTTAGATATACAGATAAAACATTTGTTTCTGAAAATTTAAGTTACATTAGAAGTGGTATATCTGCTTAATAGCATTTTCGCAGTAATTTAAACATCAAGCAGCAAGTCGAAGCTGTTAAATGAAATTTCGATAGTACCCCAAGAAGACCATATCTAAACATTTGGTCAGTAAGCACCCATAGTTCAGAACTTTGTGATTAAGGTTATGATGCTCTTTTATTTCTAAATGCTAAGTTGCTTGGACTCAGTTGCGGGTGCGGGTGTCTGATACAGTTGCGGATCTAGAAGTCGGATCCTTCTTGATCTAAAATTTAAGATTTGGGGATACGGATCCAGGTGTGAGACAATATGTGGAAAACTTACAAGGTATTCCAAAAAAGAGAAAATATTGATCAAGAGGAGAATCCAAGAAGGAGATAAAAGGAAATGACTGACATAGAAATTTTTATACACAAGGTATTCTATTTTCTTCAATTTCACCCTAGCTTTAGTTTTGATTTCAAAAAACAATGTATCCATCTCAAATTTGTCCGTCGATTTTGGTCAAAGGACCCAAAATTGGTTGACCAGATCCGGTACGGATCCCACACCCACACATGTCGTGTCAACACGAATGCGGCACCGAAAATAAAGAGTCCGAGCAACTTAGCCTAAATGTAATAGCAAAAAATTGCCTATAAACAGAAAGTGAAGCCTTCCCTAGCATAATATCTTACAAAATATGTTAAACAAGTAAGAAAAAGCATTCTCCAGCCGAAATTAATTTGTAAGATAATTTGTCAGTGAAAATATTTCAGACCCTATTTTGTGGGATTACACTAGATTTGTTGTTATTGTGTTGTTGTTTTGTCAGTGAAAATATTCATTATAGAGCACCGAAATGAAGTAAGTTGAAAGAGGAGAAATCATCATGCGTGTCCATTCCAACATATTGAACTTACAGAAGCTATAATGGGGGGTTGAATGATTTGCTTGAGTTTCAGTTTCTCATAGAGAAGTTTAAAGAAACTTTTACTCTGCAAAAAAAAAAAAAAAAAAAAAGAAGAGACGAACAATGAAACCGTCAGTATCAGTACAATAAAATCAAAATTGGATCACTGAAATCCATATCAAAATATTAGTATCACATTGCATTATGAGAATCCAGGATCCAGAAAACAACAGAAAGATTAATTATCCTTCATCACTATGTTGATATGACAAGAGAGATTGGATCCTTTCGGGTTGATCCAATCATCCATCAAAAGTTCCTCAGCTAGTTTGGTTTTCCCCAAATTGTTTGCGACTGAGGCATATTTATTATTTTTGTTGTATCACTATGTTGGCATAAAACAAAAAAAATATGAACCTACAACAACATCCAGTTATCTATCAACTGTAATTCAACCCCTAAAAGCAATGAAGAGACACCATCAATGCCTTCATCTTATTGGCCAAAGTGAAAGGCTACAGTCATGCCTCAACGTGCAAGCAAGTTAAGGTTGAATTTTGAAAAACTCAAAATCATAAGTTTAATATTCCAGTGAAAATCCATGATTTACGGATATGAAATTTGTGGATTGCAGTTAAAATAGTCACACATTAATTTTGATTCATCCAGAAACACCTAAGCGAGAATTTGATATGCACTAAACATGACTCTTAAATATCTAGCTACGGATTTGAAATCCTTATTCACCAAAAAAGTAAATGGTCTAGATTTTTTATAAGTCAATTCACTTCAAACACTGAGTGCATATGCACCTAAATGTGAACTGGTTGCATTAACCACCACTCTTGGATATCTAGGTATTATTAGGAGTCCTAATTCACCCAAATGTAATTACTCTAGATTGTCAAACTCAATTCACTTGAAACATTGCAAATCCAGATGCACCTAAATGGGAAATTGGTTTGTGATTAATCTTTATTTGAATTAAGTCCTCTGAAGAGAGTAAAGGAGCTTTTGATGGTTAGGAGAAGCTTGAGTGCCATAATCATTCAGGGTCTTAACAAACAGCATTTTCTGTTTACAAGAAGCTAGACATGTTACTAGAATAACTGAGGAATATCGCTAGAGAAATCAGTTTACGGCATGCTTTGAACCCTACTACCAAAATTTTAAAGCTCTTCTCCGGTTGCATAAGGGGAAATCTTTTTTTGTAACAGTGACATTATTGGCAAAGGGGCAATTTATCTAAACATAGCACAAGGCAGTCTCACCTTTTCTTCCGTTGAAGAACTTGGGCCAGCTGTTGTGAGTAATGGAACTTTCTCTGTGGAACTACCCATTGGATGGCTATCTTTGTTAGGAGTCTTGATGTGAATATTTCCATCTTGAACATCAAAGGTACCTTCACGAGGAGGTGCGAGCATATGAAATACATAGGTGTACACGACAATTGCACCAACCTAAGCACAAATAAAACATTGAATCACTGTTAACTTTGGCAAAAACAGTTTTGTATACTTCAAAAAAGTTTGTAGAAAGATCCAGGAGTCATTACTTTTAGAGCTATGTGTTTGACACAAACTACTATACTATATTGCCTAATAATTTCTATTGAGAACTCTGGGGGTTCTATCTTTCTAGGGGACGGTTAGACAGAAAATAAAAAGCAGGACAAGAAGACCCATTGGTTGGTAAAATACACTCAAAAATGAACACGAGATTTCTGCACTCCTGTCAGCCAGGACATAGTGTGTAAGAATTTAAACGTTTTAGCGTGGAACATGGTTCCAAAATTTCAAAAATAAATGAATCAAATGTTTTGGTGTCTAAATGCATTAATAATGTACTCATATCCACAAGAATCTAGACTTCGTACACAATTGATGCTTCTAATGGAACATAGCTAATAGGATATCGGGAATATAGTGATAGTTTTTGCGTTGTCCTTGAAACTGAAATATCCACTAAAGTATGTTTCAGTCAGACACGAGACTGCGTCCAAAGTTCATAATGACAGAAATGCAAAATAAGTAGTAGTAGAAAAACTCAAAAGCGTCAAGAAAGAAAAGATACATCCAATATAGAACTACATCAATTAAAATGGATGGCAAAGACCCCAAAACATTAATTCTAAAGTATTGCATACCCACTGGCCAAATGAGATGTACGCATTTCCATCTCGAGAGCATTTCTCGTAGTCACCAAAAGGATTTTCTTTATCTCTACATAATGCTGCAATCAGGACTAGAGGTACATTTCCAATATTCCCTGCATTACAGGTGTAAAAATTCATAATGCATCTGATCATGTAATGAATTCCAGATGCCAACACATAAAAATAGTATATGTGAACTTTCAGCCATATTACAAATTTAGTTATGTTTAAAGCATACCATACATAGAAGGAACCTTTAACTATTATTATGTCGTTAGGTGTATTGTGAAAAGAAAGTTATAAATGCACTCTCCAACTACCAACTTCAGGCAACCATACTACTAAGTGCAGTTAACTCCATAACCACCAATTCAGAATAATTATGAGTGGTAACAAGGGAACAGCATAACACTAGTTATGAGTGGTAACAAGGGAACAGCATAACACTTACCAATTCCAATCTGTATAATGGTAAACTTAAAATACGGGTATGGTGGGCGTACAATTGTGGCAACAATTAAACCTATAATAGAACCAGATATGGTGGCAATGACTACGTTTACAGGGATAAACCACCTGATAAAATGAATGAATATCAGTTGAATCAACTATTTTGGAATTGCGAAATTGAGAAGTTTGTATTCAATCCTTACCACTGAAGCAGTTTCTCAAAAGTAATGGCTTGTCCAAGTTGAGAGAACATCAAACATGGGAGCAAAAGTGAAAACACCAACTGCATAAAACCATGAATTGGAGATTAAAATGAAGCAGTCTAAGTATCCTACTGACAGAGGCCGGTGCAATATATGTGTGTGTGACAAACATCATATATGTACAATGGTGTTAAATAACTTTAAAGGTTGTACCGTTCCTAGATCCGGCACTGCCGCTACTATGTATTCCCTATGTATAGCCCGTTTGGCGCAAAAGTCAGCTTATTTTGACAAGTGCTTCTCAAAAATACTTTTGTTAAGAATAGTTTGTGTTTGACTAATTAATTTGAAAAGTAATAACCAAACTTTAAAAAACTACTTCTGAGTGTATTTTTTTCTCAAAAATATTTTATAAAAAACTCTTCTCCTCAAAAACACTTTTGTTCCTTTCAAAACCTTAGTCAAACACCTTAATTTTAGAAAAAAACCTTTTGACCCATAAAAGGGCGCTTTTGCCTCGGAAGAAGCTTGGCCAAACAGGCTGGCTAGTAGGGAGTGAGGAAAAAGAACTAACCCCGTCTAAAAGTTTCCTTCCATTGGCTGGCAAGATGTTAACATACTTGGAGGCCATGAGAAATCCCATGAAGCAAATGGTAAAAACTTTTGCTATGGGC